TTTTTTTTTTTTGCCCTAAATCAATTCCTAAATCAGTAAATCGCAGTCGTAGAAGGCACCACCACCATTACCAGGCTCCAGCAGTCCAGTGACTTTGGAGGCAGGAGTCTTCGACTACGATTGTCGATCAGCCACTGTTCCAGCAACCAAGCTCCAGTGAACAAGCCCCAGTGAGTCAGCGACCAAGCAACTGATGAGGAACTCTAGCGGCTACGATTAGCGAACTCAGGCGACCGACGATCAACTAACTCCAGTGGCTGCAATCAATGTTTACTGCTTCTACCAGACTGTAAACAAAAAATGGTCTGTGCTTCCATCATATTGGATTTCATTGGTTTTGACTCTTGACTCTTGGTTTTGCTATTATATGGTCTGTGCTTCCACACACACTATCTTCATCCATACTACATATATGATTGTAAACCTCATTAATTCTACGACAAATTTTATGCATTTTAGACATATTTTATATTTTTTAGCTAAATTATTATGTTATATATATATATATATATATATATATATTTATTATATGAGCGGTCTGACCAGTGATCCACTGGTTGAACCATTGATCCAATTTCCTAACCGATTCGATGACTGGTTCAATTCTGATAACATTGGTTGATAAGGCAAGCCTAGAAGCATGAAATCACATGGCACCTACATGCGTTGAGTTACGCCTTGGTAAAAAGCCAGCAGCCCAAGGCTAGGCCCAAAAATCCGAAGCCTATTGGGCTAAGCTTTTTTTATTTGATTAGGCGTAGAGCCTGCGGCTCAAGAGCTGGGACCCAAAAATCCGTAGGCTTATTGGGCTAATCTCTTTTGATCATATAGGCTTAGCGGGCTGATGGCTCAGCTAGTGAGCCAACAAGATCTAATAGACCCATTAAAGATATTGGAGAGACCCGTGGCCGTGGCCCATGCTGACCTTTGATTTGCGAATGGAGTGTACCCGGCCTGTCTTTCAACAAAAGAAATTAGGAGCCGAAAGAGTGCCGATGCAACGCAAAGTCGAGGCTTCTTGCTCTACTCTGGAGCCTGAGTTTTACTGTCACAACCTTCTTCTCAGGGAATTAGGGCTTTTTCTACTGCCACAGTCTTTCCGTCAATTCCAATCCATAGAATAATTCAACAACACATGATATGGACGGCCACATGATCAATACGTGAGTTATTTCTGTTTATTTTAATAGTTAAAATTGATGGAAAGATTTTATAGACGGGAAATTAATAGTTATAGGACTAAATAGAAATAATTAAAAGTTTAGGGACCATTTTAGAATAAAAAATAAAGTTTGAATACTAATTATAATATTTACTATAATATATACAATTAAGAGGGAGAGTTTAGTGTCCACATGAAAAATGCTTATAATACTCTTTATTTTCTTTTATTTTTATCACATATTATAATACCTTTCTCTGTTCTTTTCTCTTCTTTTTTTCACTTTAACCAAATATAACTTTCTTTTTAATTTTATTATAATTAACCACCTTAATTTATATTATTAATAGAGAGAGATATGGTTGTTTGGTATCTAATTAATCGCCTATAACTCCGGTAATTGCTTAAATTTATTTACTTATATTCTTTCTTTCTTTTTTTTTATTTGTACATGAGTCCTGTGTATGCACAATCCTAATCTAAGAGTAACTTAACACAGACTTGAGAAATAAAAAAACCCATGAGGGGATAAAATTTTAAAGACGTAGCTGTTTTATTATATAAACATATATATTTTTAATAAAAACATAAATAAGAAAAATAATGATCGAGTTGGTTCAAATATTTGGGAATAATATTAAAAAAATTAGAATCGATCAAACATCTTTTAAATGGATCCTAAATCGATTCAAACATTGCAATTTGGGTGGTATAAACCTAACTTTTGATAAATGGTGGATACGTAATTGCTTGATAACATGAAAATTTTTTGCAAATTACAGACTCAAATGTCACATTTATAAATTTCAATTTTGAAAGGTTATACGATGTTTTGCATAGTGGAAATATCAACGCTTTTGTCTATTTAAGCTCTTAACGCACCGAGGGATATTGCTACCGAAAGACGAAAAGAAAAGGTTGCGAAGCGATTTAATGCATTGTCATTATGTTTACCATTGGACATTGAAATGCGCGTCGATCACGAAAGGAGCATTTGTCTGTTTAGGATCCAATACAATATAACTAACTAATGGTGCCTCGTAGAATGCACAAAATTTGCATGCCTCCTCATCCTATCCCACCCCCACTTCATCCCACTCTGAAATTATATATAGAAACCCACTAATCGGCTTGTTGAATTTTGAGAAATGTTTATCATAAAATAATAAATTGATTTAATACAAGATTCAATTGAGCAGTTAGAGACAAAAAGAGAAAGGAAGTAATTACTCAGACACCAGACAAGTTTGATTGAGGCAAACTAACAAAATATGTTGAAAATCTATCTCATAATGACAATTAGCTAGAGTAGCAGGTGAGCGAAACTAATTGCAAAAGAGGAGAAATCGGCTGCTTTAAAATTACCGTCTCTTAGAAGTGCATTATTTATATTGATCACATCATTATTTGAAACACTGGTACACTTATCATTGTACAATAAAAAATCAACTCTCTCTCTCTCTCTCTCTCTCAATATATATATATATATGTGTGTGCTTTCTTTCATATTAACTTCAGCCTCACATGGTCTAACTAATCTGTATGAAGTCCAGTTCCAGCCCAAGTTTGTAATGCAGCAGAACAAGGACTCGCTTATACAAATCTCATCACAAGTCTCTGGAAAGCTTTAGCCTTGAACCTTGAAACCTTAGCATTCCGTCTCAGCTTACTTGCTCACCAATTAAATCCAAACCAACTACAAGGAAAGACAACCCTTGAAACAACAAGAAATAGAAATGAATTCCATGTGCAGATAATAAGCTTCTTGCTGATGCAGTGAGTAGCAGAAAAGCAAGGGCAAGTTCCTGCCTATAGAGCTTGTTTCTCTTCTTTACAACCGGGGTGTCTTGTTCTTTCAGTTTCCCCAACATTTCTAAACCAGATTCAGAAAGCCTTCTTTGGATTTTCTCTTCATTTACAGTTTTTGATTCTCTCTCTGCAAAGGCTAATAAGTCAGATTCAGATGATCTGCCTGTTTTCTTTGTCACTATCCATTCATAGGCACTTCCAAGCTGAAATAACCCGGACACCATTGCATTGAATTTTGTCACAGACATGGTGTTCTCGAACAGTAGGTATGGCATCAGAAATGGAAAAGACTTTGGTGCAGGGAGAATGTTCAAAATCGACAAGGTAATGGGGACGTAACAGATTACCCATACTGGTAATTCAGCCTCGGGGATGAACATGGTTAATGGAAGAATGATGCAAAATAGAGTAAATGAGTAAAAGGGAAGAATCAGTTTCCTCAAGAGAAAGAAGAGAAATATCAAGTTTGCCTTCTTCCATGTAGATATCTGCACAACCAATCAGAAATTGAATCAGTATAAAAATTTTGAAGATATACCGAAGATCAGGAAAACAGAAATCGATGAAACCTTGGATCTTATGATGGCAGGAAGACATAATCTGAAGAGCTGCATTGGACCAGAATGCCAACGATGCTGCTGCTTTTTGTATGCTTCATAAGACTCTGGCAATTCACAAAGCACTCTAACATCATTAAGGTAAATAAATTTCCAACCATGCAAGTGTGCTCGGACTGCAATGTCCATATCCTCTACTGTGGTCCTTTCAAGCCAACCTCCAGAGTCCTCCAAAGTCTTGATTCTCCAGACACCGGCTGTTCCATTGAACCCGAAGAAATTGAGGAAAACACCATTGACTTGCTGCTCCACCTCAAAATGGAAGCATAGATTGATGTTCTGCAGCCTTGCCAGTAAATTTTCATCTTTGTTCACGAATACCCATCGAGCCTGGACAAGGCCTAATTCAGGGTTCCCCTGAGAGACAAAGCACCACCACTCTTAATGTTGGACATTGATGAATATCAAGAGGCATGATTTTCAACAGGATAAAGATCGTTACCTTAAAGTGAGGAATTGTCAGTTTGAGGAAGTCAGGATTGGGTTGGAAGTCTGCATCAAATATTGCGACGAATTCATAGTCTTTGACATAGTCACAGGCCATGGCAGATTTAAGATTGCCAGCTTTATAGCCAGTTCTGATGAACCGATGTCTGTATATAATGTTCACCCCTTTTTCTTTCCATGAGTAAACTTCATTTTTTATCAGTAGCTGTACAATTTCATCATCTGAATCATCTAAGACTTGAATTAAAAGCCGGTCCTTTGGCCAATCCAGCTGACAGGCAGCAGATATTGATTGCGCATATACCTATATTCCATGAATTTTAGGGACATCAGATCATAAAACAGATAGAAGAATATAAAAAGAAACCGACAATCACCTAATCAACTGGTCTTGCCCATTGCAAAATGATATGGCTTTGTCAATTTGGTGTTTATTTAACCAATATGTGCCAGCAGAATTCTGGCACAATCCCCTACTGAACACGACTAGCTAGACCTAATAAAGAAAAATAAAATCACAAAGAAACTCATTTTCCTTACAATGCCTTAAGAAAAAAATCTCAACACATTCCAGTTTTTTATTTTCTGTAATGCAAGAATAGCTTATACATTTGGAGTGATTCTTTGACTTTTCCGATGCTATAGAAGAGATTAACATAAACAAATAAACAACAAAAAACAGAAGATTATTAAGGAACAAAGCAGTTCTGAGTGTTGATTTTGTTACCTCTTTTTCATTGCACATAGGAATCTGAACAAGAACCATTGGAAAACTTGAACCATCCTCAATATCATAAGGTTCTCCTTCAATCACTGGCTTCAACTTCTTGAACTTAATCCAAAAGCAACCAATACAAAGGACTAACCGATCCAATGATTGAATCATGAAAAGCACAATGCAGAATTTGGAAAGCATTAAAATGAAAGGAGCAGCATAATCTACTCGAAAAGAAAGCCAAGCCATGTAAGACCATCGCACGAGACTCTGAACCTCCCAAGGATTAGTCATATTCAAATTCCATTTATTGAAATAGGCCATGACTTCTATCACCAAAGCTACAACTGAAATGGCAAGAAAAGCTCTTATAAATTGATACAACTTCCCTTTGTATTTTGGGTTTTCTTCGCCTATATCCGATAATGCAATGCGTTTCTTGACTGAAACAAACATTTTCAAGAAGCCCATTGCCAGCCATGGAAGGCAAGACATAGCTCTCTGAGCTTTGAGAAGAATAAACCATGTGAATTGCTTGGGGCTTACACCCTTTTGTTTCTCTTCAAACACTGAAGAATCTGAACTATTGATCTCTATTAAAGGGATGCTGTTGGGCTTCTCAATTGTTACTACCACAGAGTTTGGTGCCATTTTCTTTTCTGAAAACCCAATTTCTTAAGAAACCAAAGGAAACCCTGATGAAAGTTTTGGGAAAAAAAAAAAAGAAGCAATGGGTTGAACTGAAGAATTCAGTTATGAAATTTGGAGTCTTGTCATCAGGTATATTGCAAAGAGACAAAGAAACTATGATGGAGTTACATAATATACCTCTTCCTGAAATCTGTATCTTTAAACAGAAAAGAATGGTAAAGAATACAGAAAGTCAAGTGAAGTTGTGCATTGAGATTGGGGGAAGAATTTTATAAGTCAAAGAAGAGAGAGAGAGAGAGAGAGAATATGCTTCTGTGAGCAAGTAATAAAGAAGGTGAAGAGAGCAAATTCTGGTCTTAATGGTGAGCCAAATGGAAGGTTCAGGGGTATTAAAAACTTTTGGATGGTCCAAATGTCTACATTGAAATTTTTTTTTCTGAACGTTCCAAGCAGATTGGTTGAAATGAAAGAGTCAAAAGAGATGGTAGAGCCCTTTGATTCATCAACAATCTGTAATTTGGCATATGTTGAAGCTCACAAGATTGGTCTTGGGTCTCATCTGATGACCAGCATGAAAATTTAAAAAATATATAAAAAATAAAAAATGACAGCCATTTACAGCCAAATTGCAGGTATGAACCATTCTCTCTGGAAACACCTTCTCTCTGTTGATCTGGACACCCAAGACAATTAATTCTTGGGAGGGTGGAAGCTACTTATGGAAATTAATACTGTTTCCAAGGCAATTTATGCTAATTATACTTGACCCTTATGGTGGTTTCCACACTTCTTGTATTGCAGGCACCATTATTCTTCATAGACATATTCTAACCTCTCGGACTACTATGATGGTTAGTATTCGAGTTTGGGAGAATAGTCGGTACAAATTTGAACACATTAAAATCAAAAAAAAAAAAAATACTAATTATAGTTGGTGAACTAATGATGCTAAAGTGGGAGTGTTTGAAAGTCTTTCTTTTCCACTTGTAGGTAAGGCAAACGGTGATTAATTAACAATTTATCACAAACTTACGCGGCTTTCTTAAGGGAGCTGTGGCTGTGCTGGCTTCGTACTAGAGATTGATAGGAACATTTAATTGAAGACTTTTAACAGCATTGATTAAAATGATCTGGATCTCATAGTAAAGACAAGATACACTTGGATCAGAAAATATGTGCTCGAAAAAAACATTTTTTTTTTTTTTTTCCAATCACGGATTTTATTGATCTTAAAAATCTCTTAATTTTATCTTGAATTTTGACAATTTTTTAGAGTCAAATCATATGTGATTTATCCTTCATAAATATTCTAATCCTGACATAGACGACCTGTCTTGACCTGATTAGGGAGGGGATTAGTCGAGGAACATGTAAACTAGACCGAACACCCCTAATCCTTGAACCAAATTATATATATACCTTCAATTTTTCATTGTCAAATATATAGCTAAACCAATTTTATTTATTTATTTTTTCGACCAGTCTGAGGAAGTGGTTCAAAAATTCTAAGGAGGGACCAGATTGATGCTATCTGTAGTCACAGACTTGTTCTGTTTTTTCTCCCGGGTGGAGGGGCGGGGGTTGAATTTGAAGTGAATTATATGATAAATGTGGGTATGATTATGATTGTCCATGCAACCCACATTGGCTGTTCCACTCAATTCTCGGCACAATTGCCTCCGCCCACCGCTGCAATGACTTCATAGATTCGTGATCTACTACCCTAAATAATTAACGGAACTCCCACATTCAACAATTTAAATTGGGCAAACTATGTGCTAAGTGTGTCATTATCGATAAAATCTGGATAAAAAAATAAAAACAAAAACAAATGGGGCTCACTGTGTTATGGGGCAGGGTGGCCATGTAACCTAGCGACCAAACATTGCATCAGTAGAAGCCTCATCCACTAGAGCCCACAAGCTTAAAGGATATGGAGCATATTTGCTTCTGAAGGACGTGCTTTGCCTTGGCTGTTAGAGAGTGGGCCACATGCGAGCTCACTCTTCAACCATCAAAGTCCAATCCCATGTGATTAGCCACCCTGTTCATGGTTGTGTAAGCATATAATATTTTGTGGGTTTGCTGTAAACGGATTTACATCTTCTTCGGTATATTCTTTAAATTTTACTCGATTGTAGATCATCTATCGTAAACTTATAGGTGACCATTACATATTAATGGATCCCCCACCGATACACAGAAGATGAAATCATCCACCATGATTTCAAATAGAGCTTAGAATATAATGGAGAAGAACAGTCCACCACTTCAAAAGCAACCCTTCCAGAAACCAGCTTGCATTGAGCATAAAAACTGCAGATACAGTCAATTTGTGCATGAAGCCACATTTTCACCACAATAATCCAAAAGAAGATGAAAGAATTGGACATGTAGTTGTGGTCAAGGTTTGTATACCCAACATAACACCCTTTTTCGGGTGCCAAGATCCACATGCTTAGCCAAGCTTTTTATCGAAACCATCCTCATCATGGCTCCACAAAGTTTGGGGTTCACAGCAACTAGGCCTCATCAGTGTCTAGCTGCCCCTAGGATGGACCATATGATACAAATAGGACAGCGAGCCAACGGTTCTCAGCCCGAGGATCAAATGAAAGACAATGGCAGTTGATCCACATTATGGACCCCATCCACATAACTAGGAAAGCTGCAAGCCAGTATGAGAGCTACGGAGAATAAATTGATGACACAACCATTGGAAAGTTTGTTAGGTACAAACCAGCAACATACAGAAATTTGTTTGCGTGAATTACATGTAGAAATTTTGGATCAACAATATAAAACATCAATAAGTTCACGCATCACCAACATATGATAAATATACACATGTATATTTATATACATGATATAGCATGTCTCAAATATAATTATTTATCACAAAGTAAAATGCATCGCAGAAGGTTCAGTTTTGTACATTAATAAAGGTAATGCATTCTTAACTACAAACATAGAAAACAACAGCAATGTGAGATTGTCTAAAAGATAAGCAGTGAGATTCTATGCCTTGTCTAGTTGGTGAGATGTCCAAATCCAAATCAGTGGAGGGACATCTGGTTCAGTACAGTTGCCGCCTGGTTTAGCCAGACTGCCACCTCACGTGTAAGATTGCATTTATGATCAGCATCCAATCAGTTACAAAACAGGTAAAAACTGAGACCATCAAACTTCTATAGAAAGTCCAAATTGATCATACTATCTGACCATCAGAGAAATTATATCCAGATAACAAGAACTGCACCAAAGAATGGGAGAACAGAGGATGTAAAACTGACCTTCAAGAACGCGTCGCTGAATCCATCCACATCGATGAGGACATAACCCGATGTGAAGTAGTCAAATTGCTCAGCATAACCAGTCTGAAATCCTCGAATTGCTATTCATTGGCCATCATTTATTCAAGCTAACACAATGCCATTCTAGTGCACTGAGAATGGCCATAGTTTAAGTCCTCAATTTTTACAAAACAAAATAAATGATAACACCCAGGCTTCCTACCTGCAGGGGTTTGTAGAGTCGGGGCACGATCATACAGATGACAAAACCCAAAAGAATTCTCAAAAAAAAAAAAAAAAAAAAGAGAAACATCAAAATCCAGCTAGCAGTGGCAGCTGACAAATCTTAAAATAACGAAAAAATCATATTTACATACACTAATAGAGCAATTGCGAACTTAACATGAATCAACCCACATTTATTTAGCAATATACAAGAACTCTGTGACAACAGGCATCGTGTTTTCTTGCCCAAAATCTCAAATATGATTTTACATGATATCCTTAACATCTGAAGGCTTTGGATAACCATCATACTCTAACTTCACATTCATAGTAGCACAAATAGCCCTAAACTTTAACCTCAAGGAGTCCATAATATTAGTCACAGACTCATTTTCTGGCTCCAATTTCGGGTACTTTTCCACCAACTCATCCATCTGCTTAATGCTTTTCTGAACCCTGGAGGAGAAACAAGTCGGGTCGACTCGGATTGCAGAGTTCCATATATCAATACAACCTCTGTAAAACCCTAGTTCTTCGCCAACTTGGAAACCTGTTTTGAGACCCACTTGACGACCCTCATCTTTTCCCGAGGATAATCCGTCATTATAGCCCTCTGTGTAGCCTTCCTTGTAGTGTGTTTCTTCTAGGTTTAGTGAAGAGTCGAAGATGTCTTTGATGGAATCAGAATTGGAATTGAGTTGGAAAGAGTCCATGATATGAACGAGTTTGTGAAGCTGTTTGATAAGATTAGAAATTAAGAACTGGAAATTAAATTCGAATTTAAGTATTGAATGTTGAATGTTTGAATTTGAAAAACTGCCAGAAATGTACTAAAATTCAAACACTGAATTGAATGAAACTGTTAAACGAGTACAACTCGTACAATGAGCTACATTCTGAAAACTATTCATGGGATAATTGTGCCCTACCACTCTTTACATGGAAATTCCCAGTCAAATATGTAATTATCTAATAAAAGACCTTGTCATATCACTAATGGAATTGATAAAATAAATTGTAGTCACAATCATGATACTATGTTTGAAATTTAACAAACGTAATAAGGAAATTAATTCTTAGATATATTAACCACCAAGAACTGTCAATTGCCTTAATCTATGATATTTCTATTTAGAATCAAAATCAAGAATTTAAATGAGTTGCAACTTACCCTCCCAAGTTAGAGCATAAATATTTGTTAGCTTACCAAATTATGCTCACTACATTAAGGATTGCAATAAGGAGCATTCTCGTCACTAAACTATTCAAAAAATATATATTTTCTGAAGAAATTGTGCATCTTTACACAAGCACTTACAATTTTCCTTTGGTATTATAAATAGATGTGGTGTCATCTTTTTTACTACTGGAAAACATCCATTCACTATTCCAAAAAACACATCCACTCACATTCCTTGGCACATTCAATCTAAAGAATTGTCACACACAACATGATGTGGCAGTAGCTTTTTTGCAAATATCATGCTATTAATTGTCCTTTGTTTTGTATGAAAATGCAGGTAAACCACACCATTCTATTTATAAAGTTTTGTACCTATTTTCTATTTGGCTAGGGCTCCTGACCCTTATAAAGAGGTAATGAGTTCAAATCTAGTCTCTACTGTCATTTCCTTATGCCCTTCCCTTAGGAGTAGGCCAGACTATTGTTGTAAATGCAAAAAAGAAAGTATTCCTTATCAAGTATTAATATTCCCAACTTTGACAAGTGAACAATAAGGATGAAATAATCACAAGTTTCACAACAAAAAGAACAAAGGGCATGCCTTCCTATCACCACAAAAGGAAATAAGGGATATATCGTTAATATGGGAGCAACCAAATAACTTTGAATGTTGTACCACCCTCGATACATGTTTTGAATTTGCATATGGAAACTATGTGCCCGTTTTCCATAAGAACGCCCTAGTGAGGCACATGAAAAATCTTGACCAGACCAGGCTACTAGTTTGTCGAATATTGATCCTTGCAAGCTTAGGAAACATAGAGCCCCGGGAGCTTTTACAAGGAATCCCGTATTCCTGTGTAGTTATTCAGGATGAGATGGAGGACAATAAGTGAAGCTATTAGGGTATGGAATCTGAGCTTGTCGACTTTCATGTGATAGATAGGAGACAATACGTGCCGGTAAGTGAAGCTGTTAGTGCCCATATGAAATCTGACCTTACACTTTCTTGTAATCAATAGTATAACCAGTTCCAACAAAAGTAAACTTTAGAACATAATTGAGAAGCGTACTGAAGTATACCATTTCTATGTTTAGAAGAACAAAGAAACCTGATCAAAGAAGGCTTACATCAAGAAGCAAGAGAGACTTGTCATTTAATGCAAATCTAAGAGTCGATGTCCAAACCAATATCACAAGAACAACAATATCACCTTTAGCATATGCACTCTAACAACATTGTCATTTAATGCAGATCTAAGAGTCAATGTCCAAACCAATATCACAAGAACAACAATATCACCTTTAGCATATGCACTCTAATAACATTGGCATTCATAACGATGTTTTCAAGAAAAGAGTCATTGGTGTACTTGTCATAAAGCCAGCCTAATGTACAATTACAACACTATAAACACCAACTCCTCCTAACTAAATAGTTGTGAAGCAAGCCCCAACTTTCTTATAAACCTTTTCAAAGGCTAAAATACTTGGTCTAAACAAAACTCAGCTAGTTTCTCACATGAACAAGCAGGTCAGTGCACTGAGACTGAGCTATCAAGAAGCCTCAGCCAAACAAATCCTTTATTACTATATAACAACAAAAGATGGCATAGATGGGTGTAACATGGTCCACCCAAATCACCATAGAAAGCGTGAGATGCAACATTCTGGTGCAGCCGAAAGGCTCTTAAGCGCAAGGAGCCAAACAGAAAGAGCAGATGCTATAGCAAAACAATGTAAGATTCACAATCAACTGAACACTAATCATTAAAAATTTGGGACTTCCGCTTTTTGGTGGGTGTTTCATTTTGTTCATGCTAACTGAATGTCCTGGTGCTGGAGTCTTTCAATGCTCTGCTTCGGGCGTATCATAATTTGTCAATAGTAAAATAACAAAAAAAACTATAGAAATAATACCGATAAAGAACCCCTCATACAGTACCTTGCTCGAAATTTCCTTGAGAATTCCTTGATTGATATAGTTGCACAGAAACGGCGGAGAGAAACAGTGTCTCTACGAGAACGGATAGAAGTTGGCACACTGGGCCAACAGGTAGTCCAGTGATAACGCAACGAGAACTCGATAGAGACAATGGCTTAAGTCATAACAGCGTCTTAAATTCGACTTTTAATAATTTAAATTCATGAATATTTTAGTTTCGTATATTTTAGTCTCATGTGGATAACTCGCCTTTAATTGAACTACTTGGTACACACGTGCGTTACACGTGAACCATTTTCAAAATAAAATTTTCAGCTTAACAAATATTATGAATTATTTTCACCAAGGAAACTGTCTCTAAGTGCCGGTGTTTAGAAAATGATTCTAAAAAAATAGGTTAAATTTTAGACCAGTTTATTACACATACTTGAAAATTTGAAAATTAAGTGATAAAGAATTTATAAACACTTCAATAATGCCACTTTCTAAGTGCTTAGTTACTTAGACCACAATTTTAGGATTGCTATATATCTGTGATGAATGTTATAAAATTTGTCTAACGTATAAGTGTAAATCTGAGAACTTACTCTTGTCCTTCCATAACCCCATCCCAACAAAATAAAAAAATGGACAAGAATGCTATGTTCCATAGGCATTAAAGTTTGTCTTTCATCTAGCAAAATATGAAATTTGTTTAGGAATATCAAATTTATTCCAGCATTAAAGTTTGTCTTTATTCACACCAAAATATGTCGGTAGCGAAATCTCAAAGAAAGATGGTTGCTAACCACTTTCATGCATTAAAACCATGGTTTTGTCTCACTAGTATAAAACGTGTAGCTGGCATGAATAACTAAAACGAAAGCACCGAACTCTGATGTGTTCCTTCAAACCATGAGTTCCTTTGAAATAGTTTGGGCAGGGATACTTTTTTTCCCAAAGCAAACAGATGAACTATATAGGAAGCCTTTCAATAAAGCAAATAATAGCAGAATACCAAGTAAATCACTTGGCAGTAGCACCTAATGAGAATAAACAAATAATAGTATCAAGTTGTTACATAAGTTGAGGAATATCAACAATGCCCCTAAGAAAATAATTAATAAGTTGTTACTGTTCGAGGTCACAACAACAATAAAAAACAAGATAACCTAATGTTGGGTGCACATGTTCATGAACAAGGTACAAGGTGTTGTATATCAAGAGCAACATTATTATGTGCATTACTTTGCTAAAGATGACATGACCTAATTATGGTATCTACACAGAAATTTACTATATGGTTCCAAAAAGTAATTTAGCATAAGGTAATGGAATAATTAATCAAATTCAAAGGCACTTGTGAAAAAGCTTAACCTTGACTGGGCACATATTTTATCCTAGATTCTATTTGAAAAAATATTCCTGTTAATATCAATATATATGCACAATATCTCAAAGTGAACCCCTTAGCTATATTGTTGGTCCCTCCGTCACGGTTCTTTGGTAACTCAAGCAACATACAAGGTTGTTCTCATAATTATGGAATTTTGCATTCTTTTTTTTTTTTCCAGAAAGGCTTCAATTAATCATAACTACATAGGATAGAAATCGACATCCGAAGTTCACAACAAATTTTAATCCATAGCATAGTTCTGACTGCTGGATTTCATTTCTAGTGGACACGAAACAAAATTCTTGATCATTAGGTCCAGAAATAGACCTTGGAAGGATCCTGTGTGGGCTGAAAAATCAAACAAAAAATACGTAATGTGGAGTTAAAGAGTACTTTCAGCTCAAGGATAGTAAAATAAAACTGTGGTACAGAGTCAATGTAGATACTTGCCATAATGTCAAACAGGGAATGTCCCCACTTCCAAGTGCATTTCTTGAAAACACTATGCCAATTCGTGCACACATTACATACTTAAACCTGGTGACACAGTCACTAAACACTGCCAGCCTTTTAATAATTTCTACTAATTTACTAATACATATGCGGAGGCAACAATCAAGATGACCTTAAACACTCTGCCGAACGGCGAAACTTGTAAATTAAGACATTGTTGTTAAATTTTGGACACTTAAACCGGCCATTGGATGGGGTGCACAATCCCATAGAAGCAATTCTTTCTTTAATTTTACACTCTTATCGCAATTAGGATGGTATTTAGTTTTGTACTTAAAGTTCACACAATACTTAATAACCAAACGAAGTTCATGTGAAAATGGATTGAGACCATAACGGAGGCCGCTCTATGATTTTTTGCAGATCAACTGAATTCATTAACTTCGAAATTTCAATTAAGATAGAATGACAATCACAAGATATCACGATTATAAGTAATTCTCCAAATGTAAACTTCCCTGCCATCAACATGTACATGATTCAAGACACAAACAAAACACAAAAGCACATGCTCTTTCTTCTACCATGGGTGTAATGCAATAAGCACATTGGAAATTCAATCATAAATTTGGTAAAAATTGTGAGTACAAATTATATGGAGAAAATTTAGTCACAAAATTTAATAGAAATTGTTATTACATCATCTGATCATCCTAGCATGATTGCTAAAACAATCTGAAATGGAATGATTACTCAGACCCATTTGCTCTAGTAGATA